CGAGAGAGTGTGAGGGAGAGGTTGAGAAGACGACGGAGTAGCCACATGGGCCAGAGGTCAAACACAGGGGCCTGACCACACCCCAGACTGAAGGGCTGCAGCAAATATGCCGCCACTGGAGCACTGATGAGGGTGGGACGAAATCGCGACGTACCCAAGGCTGCATAGTTCTCCACTCGCGACATCCATGCCACCCAATTGATGACATAGGCCACCACCGTAAGGAAGCGCAGACGGAGGGCTGTGGGATACACATCCTCGTCTCCGCTCTCACAACCATCAGGCACACACTTCGCCTCCGCCTCCTCCTCGTCGAGAGGCACGGGCACACGGTAGAAGGGCGAGACGGCTTCCACCGGCGTCATCCAGAGAACCCCAGTGAGACGAGGACTCGGCAAAGCACCATACCGCATCAAGTTGAGCAGTGGCGAGAGCGGTGACAGCGCCTGTGCAAACACGCAATCATGCAATCATCTTCATCGTCATCTTTGTCGTCTTTTTCATCACACACCTTGTTCCACTGCTCACACCACCCCACTTGCATGCACCCACCCAACACACCCGCCATCACGATCACGTTGTCGCCGCCTCTTACAACATCGCCCTTACGAGGCATTGAGTATGCACCACACTCCCCTTCTTTCCCTCCAACTCATCGCATTTTCGGCTCTCTCCATCACAACCCATACCACCAAGCACACATCGCAACACAGCATTGCCGCCAACAGCAACAACCACTACCACCAGCACACCCACCACCAGCACCACCACTGGTAAACTTACCATGGGATCGAGGAGAACGAGGTTCCTCATGCCTGCATTCTTTGCGCAATAGCGACAAATGTCCCACATCATTCGACCCGCACTGACGCGCCAGGGTGGAATTTGAATGCCCAACACTGAGAGGGGCAGAGTTTGTTGTGGAGCAAAGCGGATGGGCCACCTGCTTCTGCGCATCAACCACATCCACGCCGAGGGCAGTTTCTGGTTTATTGATGTCGTTACAAAGTCGTATTCGTGTCTGCAAAACAAACAGTCCGTAAGAGGTGCGTAGGAGCAGCGATCTTCCTCCACGTCTGTAGGTGAGGCCGACAAAGATGGTGCTTGACCCTCCTCATTGGGATTGATGGCGCTACTCCCTTGACTCGCCACGCGCGAATCCTCATCCTCCGAGTTGCAGTTGTTCTCGGCGTCGGACAATCCACTTTGAGCATCCCATTTGGGCATTGTGGTGGCAGATGGAGCACCACCTTCCTCGGAATGAAAGAGCCTTGCCATGCACTGGTCCGCGCTCTCATCGTCACCGCTTTCATCCATAAAGCATGTGAA